TCATGGTTTCTCTTTTTTGTTACAAATTTATTTATTTTTTATTTTTTTATTTTATTTTTATTTATTTATTTATTTTTGTACCTTGAATCAGGATAAACTATATTAATAACACTAATAAATTGCAATATTCGTTAATTGCGACATTTTAAAAGTTAAAGTTAAGTTTTATTTTATTTGAAGTAGTAACTATTTAAATAATTCGTGTATATTACAGCATTAGTAATATTTTTATTTATGAATTCATAAATTTGTTATCTATATCGTTATTAATTTAACTGGTAACTATTTGTGTTTATGGTGTCTGAAAAAGTATGCTAACTGATATATCCGGTACAACTTATAGGGGATCTATTAATTGGCACTTTACAAATTTTTTTTTTGAGAATACCATATAAGCGTGAAATAATGCTCATGGATGTTATTTAGAAACCCTAAAATAGAATAAATGATCTCGAATTAATGCCCATGGGCATCCCGAATTAACGCGCATCTCAATATACCCTACATAAAAATAAAGAAGCAAAAAAGATGAAAGTAGATTTACTTAGTACCAAATTTAGTTCTGGAGCGTTTGTTCAAATCTTAGGATTAAAAGGTATAATTCAAAAAATTAACTTTTATTTTGAAATAACGCATATGGGCGTACTCGAAATAATGCACAAGTGGGTATTATTTCATGCTTGTATGATATTCATTAGGTCATACAAATTTAATAAATCAGTTTTTATAGCCTGGCCGAGTTAAATTTTATAAGACTTTAAAAAAATTTTACTAACCGGGTAAGTTTTTTTAAAAAAAATCTACGAAATTTTTATATGCTTTTTATATATATAATTTTTTGAAAATAAAATTAAAAGCCAGTTTGCCGGGTTGCTTTTAAAAATTTTATATTTGTGGCCTTGATTATTGTAAAAAAATAATTTTTTTTAAAAAAAAGAAAAAATTGTACCATGGTGATTTACAGATTTAGAATAATTTTAAAGAAAAGTCTAGAATAATCTAATCGACAATTTAATGCTATATAAGGAGCAATCTGCATAATCCTAATTTGGTATATTCCTGGACTGTAGTAATAATTACTTGTGGTTCAACACCAGTTGCATCTAGTGTTTGTCGTAAAACCCACTTGTAACTTTTTTGAGTTTCATTATTTAAGAATGCTTGTGTGCCCAAATGTGATTTCTCTTCATTATTAACAAGAATAAATAATGATAGGAAATAGTTGTATTTGTTTGTTCTTGAAGTATTATCATGTAAAACTATATCAGAATAGTGTAACCACAATAAAATTTGGTTTTGTGTCATCCAAAATATGCCACATAACCAATCACTATTTACATTAATTAGTAGCTGAACAAACATTGCAGGTTCCTCTTTTTGCTGATTCAAAAGAAATTTAAATAACTAAGAAGCATCTGATCCATAAATTTTTTTTTCATATTTAATCTTTTGAATTGCATTAGAAAGATCCTGAGTAAGAAATAATTGATCTAAGAATAATAGTTGAAGTAAGTTCCTTATAGTGTGTGCATCATAATGACTATACACTACCATGTGCTCTATTTTAGCCATTACATTTTCATTAAACTGTCTGAATGCTAGTGCAAATATCTTATTATCAACATTAATTGTGTGATTATGATCCAGATGAATTAAAGTTATATGCATGTAATTGGTATGTTTAGGATTGTTCAGATTGATATGCTATTTACAATCGGTCTTTTTGGAGCTTTTATTATGTTGTTGACTGATGGGTTTAGTCTTATTTGGCATATATTTACCTGCTCTTTCACAAGTCAGTGTTTGTTTTTTAACTGCATGATTTCTATAATATTCAACTCTATAGCGCTTTATTACAAATTCATTTTGCCTTCCATATTTCTTCAAATAATATTCAGCAATATCCCATGATTTAAACTGAGCTCCTACACATAGTTTTATAGAAGAAGTTATCAAAGAATAGCTTGCAAGATCTAACTCTTCTAGTTATAATGCCCTGTAGAAATATTTTTAATACTTTTAATTTTATTTGTGTTAGTAAATTCTATATTTGTATAATAAATTATTAAAAAATCATTATAATTATAAGTATAATTAAAGATCATTAATTTATCTAAATTATTCTTTTTGATCTCACATTAGTTTTTGGATTCTTCAGGTTTATCTACTACACACTGCCCTTCGGATTCTTAGGTTCATCTACTACACACTTCTTTTTAGATTTTTCAGGTTCATCTACTATCATAAAATTAGGTTCAAATAATAATAATAATAGAGTCAATTAGTTTAAAAATAATTAACTATGTTTTGAAGTATCAAAAGATATTAAAGCAATTCATATATCTTAAGAAAAGCTCAACCTGATCTCTATTTTAAAATTTTCAAATGCAAAGAGTTGTTAAAGTCATGGGGACAAGCAGGAGAAAATTACCACTGTTAGCCTGAGTATAATGTATGTATAGTATATTGTTGCTGTTACATGAAGATAATATTTGATGACTTTTATTCGATGATAATAATACTTGATGAGGACTATTATGCAAAGATAATGTTTGTTACATAAGAATAAAAATACTTGACTAGAACTATTATGTGAAAATAACAGTGCTTTACAAAGTTTAAATCTATCACACAAGGTTTTGGGTTTTGTGTTATAATAAATATAAATATCCTCTTTACCCTGTTTGGAATTGAAATCGAAAAGAGATAAATTCTTTTTTTTTCGATTTATATTGCATCAGTTGTTTACCATTACATCATTATTACTTAACTAATTGATACTATGTATTAAGTTGTATTATTCAAAATTCCAACATATTTTGTTATGTTTACTTCATTACATGATTTTTGACTTTTATATACAACATGTAATTAGAGTAATAATATCGCATATGCTACATATAAATATTACCATTTTTGTGAATATTGGACCAATTTTGTGATTTAATTACTATTATAATTGTAATAATCTGCTAAACCTTGTTTATAATTGCAAGTTTGCAAATTTACTTAATAAATTTCGCAACTATTTGCATTTTTTTAAAATATTATGCAATATTGCAATTCTTATACAATATTATAGTTTTAAAATTTTGCTAATATCATAGCAAATATTGGGTTAATTTTGATAATTTAACTACTATTATGACTAGAATAACTTGCTGAATATTGTTTGTTATTGCAATATTGTGAATTTTCTTAATATGTTTCGAACATATTCGCATTTTTTAAATTATTGCACAATATTGCATATCAATTGTAATTATTATGCAATATTATAGTTTTAAAAATTTGCTAATATATTTTGTAATTTGCTAATAAACCTAAAATTTTATATTTCAAATATTTTTTATTTAAAATATTTTAAAATATATTTTTTCAAAGTTTTTGAAATATGTGAAATATTGCGAAAATTTTTGTGAAATATTTTGAAATTTGATTTTTCAAAATTTTTTTAAATATTTTGCAAAATATTGCGAAATTTTGTGCAAAATATTTCAAAATTTTAATTTTTCGAAAGTTTTCAAAATATTTTGTGCAATATTGCATTGTTTTTGCATATCGCAAATTCTTGTACAATATTTTGCATATATAAATTTGCTAATGTATTCTTATTGAGTACCAAAGTATATTGTAAAATCATTTTGATATATTTGTTGAGAATTTTGCCCCGACCTTAACAAAAAAAATACACAAAGTCTTAGATAAAGCCTAACAAATTTACACTTTATAATTCACACAAAAAGCAAAAATTAACAAATACTTTGACACATTTCCCGATCACTATAAGTACCTTGTTTTCTTTTGCCTAGTGCAATATATATGTAAAAAAAACAACAAATTTGATTGCATCAGTGTCCAAGTTAATAATTGAGTTTCAATATTATAATTCATTAAAATTGTTAATAACCAAAGCAATAATAATTAATGATATAAAATCTAATTGCAAAACTATTGAAAAAACAATAAATTTTTGTCGAAATTATAGCAGATCAGTATAGTATAGGTGGGCAGATTAGTATAGTACAGGCCAATTTTTAAAATTATACTATATAAATTAGCAAAATTATAAAAACTAATGCTCATATATAATACCTAGTCTATATAGTATAGATTTAAAAATTGGTCTATACTATACTAATTTGCCTATCTATACTATACTGATTTGCAAAATACCTTTTTTGCCCAGATCAATTGTCAAACTAAATGTATAATATTTATATGTTGTTCAAATGAATCTCTCTTGAAAGTTTTGATTATAATAAGTTTATTAAAAAATTGGGCAAGGCTTTAGCATAAAAATTTTAATATCTTATACACATCAGCATCAATTTATAACTACCTTTGGATTACCTTTTTTTGTATTAACATCATAGTATTATTCACTTACTATAAAGTGTCTATATAGTCAAAATTGGCATCAAATTTAGATTGAAGTAAAGGCTGATCAAAATCTAGGTTTTTCATAATCTATACTTTTGTTTTGATCATTCGAGTAATAAAAAACATGAATATTGTAAAAAGAACATCTCAATCTCGAAGCAATATAAACTCCAAAAAATTAATAACAAATTTAATAATGAAAAGAATAAGAACTATGAACTATAAATAATAATAATAGGAATAACCGAATTTATCAACATACCCAACAAATTCTTTTAATATATCATGAGAATGTTCTTTTCAAAATTCTGTCAAGTTTTTTTTATTTAAATCTGCTAATCCTCATAGTAAGCCGATTTTCAACTTCTGTTTAGCTTTATTTCCTATTGATGTTTCTTATGTAACTAAATCAAAATGGTATAAAATAGGTAAATCGACAAAACAAAAGATCAATTTTTAAGTTATAAATTTTATAATAAATTATGAGAAAATACAACCTTTAAAGAGCTATACCGCAAAATTTTATTAACAAAATTGGGTTTGTTTTTTAAGCAAAAAATGATTCTAATTTTATTTTAAATTGATATATGCAAAAAAAACTAGATTGAAAATTTTCCCTTTTTTGCAGCACCTAGCCCAAATGATCCTGTGAAATGTTGTTTGCGAATAATTAATCAAAATTTCCAAAGAAAATTTTTGTTCACTGTATTTTTGTATAGAAAAGGATCATTAGACCTTCATTATCAAAAGTTTTATAATTTTCACATAAACAATACAGTCAACTCTCTCTAAATGCAATTCATTGGTAACAACATGCATTTAGAGAACAATTAAAAACAATACAGTTAACTTTCTCTAAGTGCAATTCATTGGTAACAACATGCATTTAGAGGACAATTAAAAAAAATTGCATTTATAGAGACAAAACGTATACCAAACATATACTTGGGCCCGAAGTTAAAGCTGCATTTAGAGAGAGGTTGCACTTTAGGGTTGCACTTAGAGAGAGTTGACTGTACTTTTGAATAAAGTAGGCGTAAAAGCAAAAATGTAGATACTGTAAATAATAATAATAATAATAATAATACTTACCACTATTTTCATTGTTTTTGATTTTCGCTATAATATAGCTTATTACTATTGGTAAATCTGCTGAATTTTGGTTGCGCGACTAGTCTATCTGTAAATATTATGATCTTTGCTAAAAATACAACGCGAGACTATAATCCTTCTGGCAAGATATCTAAAATGATGAATGAATGATATAGTATGAGATAAGATAGGATAGCTAATTGGAAATAAAAAATAAAATGAATAAAAAAGACACACATTGATATAAAAAGATAGGATAAGTGTATGAATCGAGCAATACTAAGAGTAAATAAAACTCATCAGTAATATATATATTATATGTGATTACATTTCATAAATATTACTATCGGGTTTTTAAATAATCCCCTTATACGTAATAAAAATTATTGTCCATCATGAATGTCCTGTACAATCATTTATCATGTTAAAATAAGGTATAACTTATATTCTTAATTTATTCTAGTTGTCAATTTATTTTAACGTTGAAAGTTAGAGACTCATGGCTATAAAAGAAAATTTGATTGTCCTCCAAAGCGTATAAAAAATCGTTGATGGTTTTATCAAATTGATCAGATCCGTCCAGCATGTATATAGAATACTCCTATTTTAAACCTCGATCATTATATATAAGCCGGTAATCTCTGGCTATACAAGGACCCTTCGGGCCATTTTTAACTAAGAATTTAGTCCTTATTCCTGAAAAAATAAATATTACCTATTAATCGAAATCTTCAAAATAATCCATGTAACTATTATTAATTCCTTATTTGTGCTGCTTTATAATTCTAACAACTTGATTTTTTGAAAATTTATATATTTTAAATTTAGTCTTTCTGGACTCAAAACTGTATGGTGCCCGATTTACACTTATAGGAAAACTTTCGTAT